ACTTTAGCCAGTTAACATTATCCCACAAGAACCTACATGAGATGGAACTCTGAAAAAGAAGGTGTGCCTAAGCATGTATAATTTCCTCTAAAAATAAAAATTAAATGCTGCTGATGTTAATTGCCACAGTGAGAAATGTTTTTCCTATGGATTTCTTGAACCAGCTGCCAAGAAATGTTGAAAGCACAAGATGAGATCATAGTGCATCCTCTCCTTCAGTGACATAGTTGAGAATGATTCACCTTTTGGCCACAAAAAAGAGAGAAAAGATTCTGCTGAAAAGAGGGTGGGGAGGAGAAGCCAATGGAGGAATCTTCCCTGTCCCCTCTGAGCACCGTGTCCTGCCCCAGAGCAGAGGATCAGGTTCTCCTTACCACGTGTGAAACCACTTTGGATGCTCAGAACTGAGAAGATAGCACGAGCCTTTAGGACATCCATTAACTCTGACCGGGGATTCTGAGAGTGTTGCGCTGCTCTTGCGTTTTCTAGGGACAGTGCTACCTCCGGCCCGCGGGCAATACTGTTGCAGTGTTGAGTGCCCCAGTTGCGAGTCGCCACTCCGAGCAGTGCTGCTATTGTACAGCGTGGTTTCAAACAGCATAGATTTCTGACCGCTACCAATTGACAGGGAGCACAAGCCAGGAGTCCAACCTTCTTCCAAACTCTGAGTGCCTGAAGTCAGAGAACAGAGAGCTGTCAGGTGCAGAGGCACCCTCTAGACAAGACTGCAACCAGTGTGAGCAGGAGGAGCTGCAGAAATATAACACATTCTCACAGAAATTGTAGACACGCTTAGATGTTACATGTGTTCTAACAGCTCTTTCCCGATACTCCTGTGTCCACAGTGCAGTGTCTTCCCCTCGGCCACGGTGACCTCCCCCATCTCCATGACCCACGTCAGGCAGCCGTGGTGCTTGCCCAGCGCTGCTCTGTGAGTGCCTGCTGTGTCTTTCCGTAGGCACTGGTGAGAGCCACCACGCCTGCCCCAGGGCGCCCTGTGCTCCCCGCTGGCTTCTGCTCTCTGCCCTCGTGTCAGTCTCCTCCGGCGACCAGGCTCCTTCAGGTCAAACCCTTCCGCTGTCCCGGGTTAATCTCATTTCCTTATTCACACACTCTGTTATGGTTTTCTTTTTTGGATCTGTTATGGCTAATGATTAAAATTGCAGCACATTTTTGAAACTCTCACGTGGTATCTTTAGCATTCATCTTGTTGTGTCTACTATCCAAGCTCTGGTTGAATAAGACTAATTAAGCTAAAACACTTTCACGGTTTAAATGAGCTTCCTATTCTAGCACGTTTGTGTGCCAGTTGGTGTGTGTGTGAGTGTGTGTGTGTGTCTGTACATGTGCATGCACTTGTGTGATGGAAGCAAAAATGAATGAAATAAAATATGTGGGTCAACTTCTCACTTGGGAAGGTAATTCAAATCTCACAACCGAGAAACAGATACCTTAAAATCCTACCTGTATAAATTAAATATCTGGGTTAATGCAGCACTTTTTTTTTCCAATAATGTGTTAAAATTCCTGCCCCATTCAGAATAAAAAGGCAAGGCTATGTTTTAGATTCTTTTCTTTTTTCTTCCTAAACTGGTTGCATGGAAGCAACCATTTGGTCAATTGTACACACCTTCTGAATCAAAACCACTGATTCCATAGTGAGAAAAACATCTTTCATCAGATACCCTAATACCATACAAAGGACTGTGAATAATTTAAAATAGTCTGATTGATGTCTTTCACTTGGCATAAGTATATAAAATATAACATTAAGTAAATAACGATAATTTGTGTTTCCAAATACCATAAAGCAGTACTCGTTTCAGATAAATGTTTAGACAGTGCTCTCAGTTTGAAAGTTAGGAGAAGTTGGAGATCACTCAGGAACTTATTCAGTAGACCAGCGCTTTTCCAGCAGGTTATTCTTCCTGGTACTACAATTAGACCTGAGGCCTAGACGTGGCAGGAGTTTTAAAAAGAGAGATGGCAAAAAAAGGAGAAAAACAGGAAGAAAATGTGGACAAAGGAAAAGAAAGGAAGCTGAAGCAAAAGGGAAAGAAATGAACAGAAAAGTAACAGAGAAAAAAGATCACCGGGAGGGTTCTTGCTACTCAACCCCACCTGTCCTGTGCACTCTCTGGAATGGGAGGAGCAGGTGCAGTGCGGCACTTCCCTTACTCTGTACCATTTCTCTGTTTTGTTTTGTTCTTTTTTGGTCTTTTTGGAGTAGGGCCTCACTATGCAGTTCAGGCTGGTCTTGAACTCACTTTGCAGCCCAGGCTGGCCTCAAACTTGCAGTGAACCCCTTGCTTCATCCTCCTGCCCCAGCCTCCCCAGTGCTGGCATTACAGGCATGCGCCACCATGCCTGGCTCAATTTCCCCTTTTTGTAAAGGAAGGAGTGCTGCAGGCCAGGGATCACCAAAATTCTTTTTTGATTGAGAACTTTATGAACAGTCTCAGTAAGCCAGGTGCGGTGGGCACCTCACGTATGTGTTTGCTTCCCAAACATACCCAGAAGCACCCTGCAGAGTCACAAAAGGCCTCTTACTGTGTTCCTCAGAGTACCATTTAAACCTGATCTGCTGCTTGGAATTTGGTAAGGAGCTCTTTTCTTCTTTTCTAAGCAACCTCTGCTTCAAAAAGCCATCTGGAAAATATTCACCTCGAGTTTTCTTGTAGGGTGGAAACGCTACAACAGACTAACTGCCTACACTGCATACAAATCTATCTAGTGGTCACAAGCTGCCATCAAGACCCTAAATCACTGTGGGCTTCACAGAGACATATGTGTTGGGGTGGGTCCCATTCAATTAGTCTGTTTCAGCTGAACTCCAGAGTGAATGAGGGCTTAAGCCAATTCTTAACAAATATACCAGATTTTAGCATCTGGAGAGAAGGCGATCCAAAACAAATTATATGATCCACATAGTATGTAGCTCTGGTGTGGTCATCTGATTCCTGAGCGGTGACCATACCCTGGATATGTACGATGAACTTTTAACCCAACAAATGACAATTTAGCAAACAACAGCTGCCTGGCCGTTTCACCAATGGAACTATAAAAATTCAAATAAAATGAATTATGTCCACAGTGGTGTTAGCACTTCCAAAATGGCTATTTCTTTGAGTCTGCAGAAAATAAGTCTGCAGCAAACACAGAATTCAGCTTCTCTTTAGGAGAAAATCATGCCTCAGGAAGGCAGAGGAGATTGATGTTTTTCTGCTCCACCGGAACTGGCTGTCTGCTTTCATCTATAGCTCCATCTCTCACATTGTTTCCATGAGAAGAGGCTTTGCCTTTGATAGTTCAGCAACCCTGCTTATCTGTGTTAGGACTAATTAGAGTGGAACTGAAAATTGCACGATGGTGTTACAAATAATCTGCTCCTGTTTGGCATGACCCATTGACACTGTGGGTTGCGCCCTAATCCTGCAGCACTGAGCACTTTCAGGTGGTTATTGATTGAATTCGCAGATGCAGTTACAGCAAACTGACACTGTGTGGTCAGTGTCTTAATTACTTAATGCAGTCTCCGTGGGTCATCACCATATGCACATTAGAAGAGGCGGCCTAAAGAGAGCTGGAAGCATCCTGGCTGAAGCAATTTATATGCAAAAAGCTGCTCTACCCTAAAGGGAAGAATCTCAGAATCAGTTAGGCAGAGTGTTTCAGTGAAAGTGATACAGTGTCTGAAAGCCATTTGGATGATGCTGGTATAGATATAACGACCAAATGAAAAAATTGAATAACTAATACGTAAGTGTCTATCTTTTGGGAGCCAGATGGGCAGGATAGTAGTTGCAAGCTCCCTTTTTAAACTGAGAAAGGGAAGAATCACAGTGTCCCATTATTAAACAGAACTCAATGCTGTCTTAAACTCCTCTGAGGCTCATCTAATACTAAATGTGGATGCTGAGAAGGATTCCATTTAACTACACTGTATATCCACTTCCTACAGGTTTCACTCGTCACTAAACCAATTTGTATTCTGTTTGACTGTCACCCATTTGCCAATCTTTAATTTTTCCCTTTCCTTGTTTCTTTTGCCCCCTTTCTTCCGTTTCCTACTTTGTGTTTGGTCCAAAAACCATTTCAAGGAAGCCAAAGATGGGAATTACTTGAGCTTCAGCAGTTTATAGAGAAGACTTCAGTTCTTAGAAATTTTTAAGACTGTTAAAAATTCCACTCATAACTTAGAGTTTTATGTATTTTCTTATTACCTCAGCACTTTTATAAGTACGTAATCATTGGGACTTACATACATTTTCTTTGGCCATTTATGTGGCCTGTGCTTGTCAAATTATGAAAATTCAGAGCCCAAAAATCAAACTCTGGGCCACGTCTTCAGTATCCCATCCATTTCTAGTTCTGTAGTTCCTATGAGACTACAAAAGCAGATCAGACTGCTTTTTATCAAAGGTTAGTCATTCTCAGGACATCATCATTGCTTTAAGAGTCTTACTAATCTAGCATTTAGAATGTACAATATGCGATGATGTATAATACACACATTTCATAGTAATTTTGTATTATGAGGCAACTAACCCAGTTCATTAAGAAGAATGAAGAAAAATATCAGAGACATTAGTTTTTGACCAAGAACTCATCCATGACGATGACATAGCCAGATGAGTTCTCAGGCGTGAGTAGTTGGGGTGTCACATCTGTTGCTAAATGCCAACGGCCCTGCTGCTTTCTGTGCAGTCATTAGTCTCATGCACTCTGAGATCACGAGACTGTAACATTTATTTAAAAATAAAGGAACTTGAGTGACTCTCTTGTGGCATGTGCAAACCACAAGCCCTGTGCCAGTGGAATTACACTGCTGAGTGGTTTCATCTTCAATGGCACTGATGGACAAGTTCCTCTTTGCTGACCCTGCTGCCATCTGTCATCCTGCCCTCCACCTACAGTTCATTGTACTAGGGACAAGGAACAGGTTTCACCCTGGTCAAGGTCACTGCCCAGCCAATCAGAACCGACGGGGTCACTGCGAACACCCAAATTACTTCCAAATGGAGGTGCTGACAGACGCTGTTAATGAGCTCTGTTTTGTCAGACTTGCTGATGACCTTTGACAACATCTTTCTTCCAGCCTGCAAGGTTTGTCTAATTTTTCTCCCTGTGACATTTAGGTGCTATCTGATACTTAAATGGACATTCGAGGCAATGTGAATATGGCATCTGAAGACGAATTTGCAGAAGTGATAAAACGGATGGCATTGCTATCCATCCATTAGCTAAGAAAATATTGTACCTGCTTATCTTTATAAAGATCTCAACCTGCCTCTCTCTTGGCTGTTATTGGAGAAGTGGATGTGAGCTCCACGAATCTATATGTTTACAAGCAGAGTACAGTGATTACAGCAGAGCAAATAAGCCTAATCCTACGCAGGCTCATGTGTCTTGCTTTTCAGTTATGCTCTATTCTTTCTGGGCGATAAAGTGCAGTACTGTAGAATTTTAAAATAATAACATCTGCTGCTGCTGATGGTTGGATGATCTGAAAAACTATCAGGTCTATTATTAAATAGACTTCTTTAATCATTGCCTTGACCTTTAACATTTACAGTCATCTTGTGTGATAGGAGAGCCAAATTCCTACACTTAACAAGCCACTTAAAATGATGAGGTATCTAGTGTCTGGGAATGTGCAGGTCCTATAACCTATAAACCTATAAACAAGTACACCACTCAAAAGTCTACGGGCTATTAAATGACAGAAAATGAGGATATATAACTTTGTTCTTTAATTTTAAAAGTGTTCTATGTAGCTTCTTTCTATCATGCTTTGTATGTTTTCATACAAATGTCTGAGGATGTAAGTTCAATGCTTCTTTGCTGAGTACTTCTGCTTTATAGCCAGAAAAAATCATACATGATCTTTCCTTAGTTCTTTATCACTTTTCCCCAGATGGAATTTCCATGGCTCTCGATTCTGTTTGCAGGAATGGGTTTAATGAGATTCTTCCCATTCATATGAGATTCTTCCCATTTTCCCTCTCATGCTACTGTTCAGTTTTCTTCCAACTTAAGTTTTGAAGATTGCTTTACAACCATTTCACAAGCACAAGCAAGATTGCTTCAGAAGTCCAGAAACTTGCTCAAGATAGCTGTAACTGATGAAATATTTCTTAAAATATCAGACATGATCAGTATAGATGTTTACTCTATCAATCCTCTTCTTCATTAAAAGATCACACATGTGGGTTTCTTTCTTCAAAAATTTTGTAATGGAGTCAATTTTCACCCCCCTCGAATGTGTAACCCAACATCTCTTTTTAAATATAATTTACTACAAATATAAGAGACCAAAGACATTTAGAACAGACTTATGATCTAATGTCTGTGGAACAAATCCAAAATTAACTATGGGACAAAAATAGAGAGAAGCCATGATAGAGATACAAATTTCTGGGGAATGATGTGTTCCTCAACCTCTTTTCTCTTTGTAATTTTCCTTGCGTTGAGTCCTTCTTTGCAACTCAGTGATCTTCTTATGGTGAATTTTTGCTGAAAGCAAATTGGAAAAGCTTTTGCCCAGTTCTGTATTCACTGACCGCATGCAAGATAGCTTGAACTTGGCCATGATGATAGCATTTACACGAAGGAAATGGGCAGTGTGGTGCAATATAGGTCCTGTAGCTAGTGAGCCACTCCTAAAAATGTTACGTGCTGGATCTAGTGCTACCTTAATTCAGTTTAGGTAAAATCTCTGTGAAGGTAAAATCTCTGCATCTTCTAATCTGTTCACATCCTCAGGTCTGTTTTTTTTTTTGCCAGTACCATGCTGGCAGTCTTTAAAATTAGTATAAAAATAATATTAATCTAGTGAATATTTTGAAAAGTATGTAAAAGTAGATTTTGGGGGGACATTTTCTCTATGTTACCCCAAGAGACAGCCTTTCTACATACACGGACACCACATAGTCTTAGAGTTGTCCTCAGTTGTCCCAGTTGAACAGTGTTTATAATTGTTTATGGAAAAAAGGAAGAAATAATTTTTCCATGGAGAAAGGTGCAAAAAAGAGGGGAAAAATGAGTTTTCTTCTCCTGCAGAGTTCATCTCCACCCTCTCAGTCACCAGTCATGAAGCAGGATGGAACACGACACTCTGAGTTCACTTGCAGACCGGGGACGTAGGCTTGAGCAGGAGCTGCTCCAAGGGCTGCCCCCTCTGGACAGCCTGGGATAGGAGGGTGTGAGTCAGGGAGCAGCTGGCAGCATCTGCACACACACCTTCCGGGCGGTCCTGCCTGCTTGGCTCGGGTCCGGCACTGTAGCCAGGTTCTCCCTCTCTGCCTGCTGCTGTGATGACCCCGAGCTACTAGAAGAGAGTGGCTGTTCAGTGAGCCATGAGCATTTGGGACACGCAGACTTCCAAAGGCCCCACCACCGGACAGGCTTTCCCTGTGAGTGAGGGTCCAGGTGACCTGTGTGCACTCTCACAAGTGAGCAGCATTGGGCTCGGGGGGGTGTTGGGGAGAAAGGGATGGGAGGAGAGAGGAGACAGAGTTAGCACGGCACGCCCACTGGTTAGCAGCCAGCCTCTGCCTTCTTTGCAAACAAGAAGTTCTACAGATTCAACGCAATCCTGATTAAAATTCCATTAGAATATATCACAGATCTAGATGAAACATTCCTAAAGTTCATCTGGAGCCAGAAGAGGCCTCAAATAGCAAAAGCAATCCTGGGCAACAAAGGAAAGGCAGGAAGCATCACCATCCCTGACTTGAAATTATACTACAAAGCTACTGTGATAAAATCAGTATGGTACTGGCAAAAAAAAAAAAAAACAAAAAAAACAGACCTGAGGATGTGAACAGATTAGAAGATGCAGACACCACTACAAACACATTCAGCTACCTTATCTTTGACAAAGTGACCAAACATGTTCACTGAAGGAAGATAGCCTCTTTAATAAATGGAACTGGAAAAACTGGCTTTCCTATGCCAAAGACTAAAACAAGACCCACGCCTATCACCATGCACTGAACTAAAGTCAAAATGGGTCAAAGATCTACACATTAAAACAGAAACACTAAATCTAGTGGAGGAGAAAGTAGGTAGAAATCTTGAAGACCTAGGGGTAGGCAGAGCGCTCATGAACAAAAACCAAACTGCACTGGAAATATTTCAAAGAATCAATAACTGAGATCCCATCTTATTGAAAAGTTTTTGTACAACAAAATAAATCACAAACAAAGTAAAAAGACAACCCATAAATTGGAAAAGAGTTTTAGCCAACTGTCCCTCAGACAAAGGACTTCTATCTAGAAAAATAATTTTAAAAAATCAGGATACAAATTCAAAGACCCAATCCAAAAATGGGCATCTTAGATGAATACACACTTCTCAAATGAAGAAATACAAATGGCAAATAAATATATGCTTTTGCTATTCTGCGCCTCTTCTGGTTCCAGATGAACTTTAGGAATGTTTTATCTAGATCTGTGAGATAGTCTAATGGAATTTTAATCAGGATTGCACTGAATCTGTATAACTTCAAGATCATCAGTCATTTGAGAAATTTAAATGAAAACAACACTAGATTCCATCTCTCCCTTGAAAGAATGGCAATCATCAACAAATCAACCAATGAGAAATGCTGGAGGGGTTGTGGGGAAAAAGAAACACTTCTCCTCTGTTGGTGGGAGTGCAGACTGTACAACCACTATAGAAATCAATGTCAGAAAATCACTATCAAAAAACTACTATCAGAAATCCCATTGAACCCAGCTGTTCCCCTTCTAGGTATTTTTCCAGAAGAAATGAAAGCATCATAACACACCAATATATGTGCACCCCTGTTTATAGCAGCACAATTTGTTGTAGCTAAATCTTGGAAATAACTCAAATGACTAACAACTGAGGAATGGATAAAAAAGATGCGGTATTTTTATACAATGGAGTATTACTCAGGTATAAAGAAAGATAAACTAGAGGCTTTTATAGGTAAATGGATGCAACTACACACCATTCTTTTAACTGAAATAAATCAGACCTGCATGTGTAAACATCATATTGCCTCCCTAGTGTAAGAACACGAAGAAGTGAATAAATTCTGAAAGGTACAATGATGTTGTGAAAGGGGAAGAAACTGCTCAAAGGGAGGGAACAACTGGGATGGGGAAAAGAGAAAAGAAAGAAGGAAGGGAAAAAATATATGTATATATGCAGGATAGCTGGGATAATTGTACTGCTGAGTTCTACTGGTCTATTGAAAGGAACAGTTAATGCTTAAATTTTTTTTTCTTCTTTTTAATTTTTTGACCAATTTTGCATGCTTTTATCTGATAATCTGAACAGCTAATTTGAAGACAACAATATGCAATATAACAACCACTGTTGAATTTCTACCATCTTGTTTAGTGAAGTTCTGTATCATTTCTAATTTTTTTTTATTACTTTTTAGTTCCTTTAAAATAAAAAGAGAAGCACAAGGAAGGATTGCCATGCTTTTTAAATGACTCTTTCCCGGCGAGGTTTCTGTCCTGCCCGGCTGTGATTGTTTGCCTCCTTCAGAGCACTTATTTAGAAAGAAGCTTGATTCTTTCAGCAAGATGATTCTCCATGACAGCTGAGGAATTTGGAGAAAGCCGTCCCGTGGCCCAGTGTCACTTCACCGCGCAGGGCGTGTGCTCTCGGGAAAAGTCCCTTCTCCTTTCCCTGCGGCCTGGCTTAGCGGCAGGGCCGTGTTTAGCTGAGCAAAGCCAAGTGAGCCGCACAGAAACATCTGGCCGTGTTAGACGAGGCACTTGAGCAGCTGCCAGGCCAGGATCTGGAATTCCAGAAACTGACACTCACTCTTATGGGATGCTGACAGCCAAGGAGAAGCATTTCTTTTTTGTCATGTGTGCACTTTTCTTCACAGTGTAACAGTGCCTCTGGGTCATTTGTGTGTACAGAAAAAGCATTACACGCAGGCCCGGAAGGCCTGGCTTTGTTACAGAGGGTGTGGCTTCTCCAGCTTCTCGGTTTATCATCTGTAAATGCTGTGTCTCACAGTGTGGTCTTCGCACCTGTCTGCAGCCCGTTCAGCAGCATATTCGGATCTGCACAGAGCACTTAGCTAAAGACAATTTGTTCAGCTGCTTCCTTCT